TAGATCGTCTTATTTTATCTGAGCTCACCTACTCATCTCAACTCTAAAAATCAGAATATATCAGAATATATATATATATTTGGCCTTTACCTAGAATGTATGTACTTGGCAATATCCTTCCTCAAACACTCCCTTATCTGTGTGACCCTGGGCAAGTTATTTTACCTTCACCTGCCTTAGTTTCCTCATCTGTAAAATGGAGATAACACCTTCCTCAAAAGGTTGTTGTGAACATCAAATGTGATAATAAAAGTAAAGCTCTTTGCAAACCATAAAACATCATATAATGCTAGTTACTATCATTATTACATCAGATACATTCAACCACAGAGGAACTTAGAATTACATATGGTGTAAACTGGTGGTCTCCAAACTTGAATCTAACACTCCAAATCCAATACTTTCCATTATAACACACAGATATATTTTCTTACACTGATGTGGAGGGTGGTAAGGGTTATGCATTTTAATAAATAATCCAATCATCACCATGAAAGGAGTGACCCTGAGAAGACCCTAGGACTACATCTATAGCCACAATCAAAATTGTGCAATACGTGCACAAAGTTCATTTATTTCATAACAAATATGATCCACAAATAACTGAAAGCAAAAAGGCTATTTGTATAAGAATGAGGGTAAGTCAATTAAAAATAAAAACCAAAACATGACTTGTTATTGCCACAATCACATTATTAAAGGCACAAATAATGGGTTGAAACAGTCAGGAAAATTTTCTTTCTGAAATCATATATCTAGCTGTCTCTAGGACAAAATAAAAATTAACCTGATATTTAATATGACTCCAGTCTCCTTTTCCAGACTGACTACACATTTCTCCCTTTGGTACACTGTACAGTCTGGCCAAACTGGTGAATCTGGTTGGTTTTTCCCCCCCTAACCTGCTATTCCATCTTCTATCTTTGCCCAGGCTGTACTCCATACCTGGACATCTTCCATGCTCAGAATGAACTCTTCCTCGCTCAAACTTCATAGAATAATAATAGAAACTGATATTTAAATAGCCCTATAACATTTGAAATATACACATATAATCTCATTTGAATCTCACAAGAACACTGTAAGATAGATATTCCAAGTAATGTGAACTTCATTTTATAGAAGGGTTAGATGCCCAAGGTCACAGAGCTATTGTCAAAGGTAGGATTTGATCCCAGGACTTCCTGACTCAGAGTTCAGTCATACTGTCCTCCCACTGAGGAAACAAAAATAGCCTGAACCTTGATGAAAAAAGCAGATATGTCTGACATCTAATAGCTGTGTGACCCTGAGGAAGTCACTTATCTGAAAGTCTGTTTGCTCATTTTTGTTATTTAGTCGTTTCTAGAAGCTGGCAGCCATGAAGAACTGGGATTTCTTTTCTTCCAAGATCCCACCAACTCTGCTCCTCTGACAGGTGCATGTTATTCATTAATCATTCTCCAATGAGGAGAGTCTTATGTAAATGGATTTGAGTCCCAGGTTACATTAAAAAAAATGGAAATAATATTATCTAGAATACCTAGCTTATAGGATTATTGTAAGACTCAAATGAAATAATACATTGTAAAGCATTCGACAAACTTTGAAACACCACATCAGTTATTATTCCTGTGTTCATCTTTACTACACATTAGCATTTTGATTATAGCCATTGCTGGCTCTTCATTAATTCTATTCAGATCCTTGAATAGACTGTATGTGTTTTACCTCTCTAGAATCATAAGGAAAAATGGCTATCTCTGCCTTATATAATATATAGCAACTACATTTACACAGAAGAGAAATAAGGAATAAAGCTCCAGATTTAGCATGTGAAAGAAAAAGTTGGATTGATAAAGGCCCCTAGGGCTAAACAAATTAAAATTTAATTTAACTCAGTGGAATGAAGTTTGAATTCTATTTGAAGGGACCTTAGAGATTGCTCTAGCCCAATTCTGCCCTACTACATTTTACAAAATGAAGTCACATAGGCCTTGAGGGCTGACTTATTCAAAGCCACAATGGTAATTAGTCAGAGTCAAGATTAGAAGCCAAAGCTCATGCACTCTTGTTTAGTGTACTTTCTATTACACCAAACTGTCTTTCATTTGATCTTCTCTAATATTTCCACAGTTTTTTTTCCCACAGTTTTACTTACCAAAGATGCCACAAACATTGTCAAATAATAAATGCCAATTACTGGAAGGTATTCTCTCTTTTTTTATTTTAAGAATTTTATTCAAAAATTGAGGAAAAAATGAGAATGTCTATTTGTTGCATTGTCCCGCAGCCAGTTTTCTCCATATTTAAAGGTTGTTTTTCTGTTTTTAAATTAAAGTGTGATTCATTCTGTCTGCCTCCATCCATAACTCAGTTACTTCCTATTCAGGAAGTTAAGGCATTGACACATGGGTATCTTACAGTATAAGCCATAGGGGATCGGGGGAGTGTTAATCTAATGCACCCCAACTTAAAAGCCCATAGGGAACCTCAGTTCACTCAGTGAAATAACACAACCAGTTCTTTGAACAAACTCAGACTTCTCCTTTCACCTACACATATTGCGGTGCTGGCCTGTTACCACCTCAATTCTCACATAACTCAGGGCTTAAAACTGGGCATTTCCATAAGACACTTGTCATTGATGGAGAGAATAATTACTCAGTGCTCTGTGCCTGCATAAGGGACTGAGTTGGCCACAGCTTGAGAGAGAAGGGCTCCTTCTTTTGGCTTCCAGCTTTGAGAGTGGATAGATGTGATTCTAGGTTTTCTTCAGGGAAAAATCCCCAGAGGAAAAGAAAGACTTTGAAAGAAGTCAACATGTGGAGAAGCTACTAGTATGAGCATGTTCCTATGTCTAGCTCACCACACAGAGATCACAGGGAATTTCCACTTAGGTGAGAACACAATTTCTCTCTCTCTCTCTCTCTCTCTCTCTCTCTCTCTCTCTCTCTCTTCTCTCTCTCTCTCCTCTCTCTCTCTTCTCTCTCTCTTCTCTCTCTCTCTTCTCTCTCTCCTCTCTCTCTCTCTTCTCTCTCTCTCTCTCTCTCTCTCTCTCTCTCTCTCTCTCTTCTCTCTCTCTTCTCTCTTCTCTTCTCTCTCTCTCTCTCTCTCTCTCTCTCTCTCTCTCTCTCTCTTTCTCTCTCTCTCTCTCTCTTTCCCTCTTTCATATTTTCCTTTCAGTGGGAAAGTTCATTCACTTTGTGCATTCTGTAGTATTACTATTTTAATCTGTATAACTTCTCTGATTTCTGTTTGCTATAAGTTTAGACAAATCTGTTTATTTGTCATTCACCTGTGCTAGCCTTTGTTTAACTGTGATCTGGTAGGAAGAAAATTAAACTTTTGCATATGCTTTAGGGCACTCCTTCCCAATTAAAGGACAGTGATCAGGAAATGGTGTGAACCTAAATATGGTTTCCTAATGACTAGCAAATATTTTGTGGAGTAGACAGATAGAATTTTCATTTATACCCTTTCTCTGAGGAGAGCAGAGAAGGCCAGTTTTGTGGCCATAATATCCTGCTCCCTTCTGGGTCAGAATAAAAGTATCCCTTGGATATATATTCATATCTCCCTGTGAGCCATATTTTGACAAACCCATATAGGCATACATATAACCTACCTGGGAAACATATACACACATCTTACATTCAAATCTAATTGATTTCTCATTATCAAACACTTCGCTATATTTTGAATACCTCTTTGTCCTTTGTCATTCTTGGACTCTTTCACCACTCCTATATCTAAGAATTTTAAGCAACCCTGGTCCCATAGTATCACATTCCCATCAGACCTTAGAGGGCACCAGGGAAGGCCACTGGCCACCCTAGATCCTATACCTGGTATAAGCTCGAACAGGACTCACTCTTTGGGCCAATAAATCAAATTCTTCAGCTATGTTGATGTCAAACATTGTGATATTCTACATACAAATATAGCAGTCCATAACAGCTATGGTATTGTGTAACTAGGTTAGAATCTTAGTCTATTCAAAAATAGTAATTTAGCTATTCTCAGTAATACAATGGTCCAAGACAATCCCAAAAGACTAAGGATGAAACATACTATCCACCTCTAAAATAAAAGAACTGATATTGTCTGAATACAGACTGAAGCATGCTATTTTTCACTTTATTTCATTCAAATCTTCTAGTACAAAATGACTAATATGGAAATGTTTTACATGATTGCAAAAAATAGTAATTTAACTTGCTAACCCTTAGTTACTCTGATGAATTTCTAATCACTGCCAGGAAAACAGATTCACCAACCCCAATTAACAAAACTCTGGAGTATTATCTCAGTCAAGAGTCACATTTTAAAGAAAATAGTCCATTCTATGAAAGTGAAATGAAATGTAAGAAGAACCTAGAGAAACTGCCATTACTTCAATTTTTTTTCCTTTTTGAGCTTGGAATGTACATGGAGAGTTACAGTGATATTCTTATGACATACTTCAACAACAAAAATGCTTGAAATACATTTCCTATTTAAATTATATCTTCAGCTCTATAAGGCAGAAGAGAGTAGGCAGTTTTCATTCTGGAATCTTCCTTGTCCACGGGAGGCTAGGCATGATAAATCATCCCAAGCCTTTCATTTAGAATGACAATGCTAGATTCTCCAAGCCATTAACTACTTTCAGTCATGCCTCAAAGAGAAGATACCTTCTATCTCATGAGCCTCAAGCAAAGGAGTGAGTGACTGTGCAGGAGACATTTAGTCCATTTCCATTGGGCTCAGCAAACAGAATACCAACACTAGAAAGGGAGAAGCTCTAGAGAGGCTAGGGCCGCTCCTAAGCCAAAGTCTTGAAATTGGTTAGAGGCACAGATGTAGGTGCTTTCTCCCTCACCCCTCCCTATGTCCCACAACAAAAGAAGAATCCCCCTGGTAAGAGAGATTAGAGACTCAACTTGTAGTAACTCAAAACCATCAACAGCCACAGAGCAGACAGGACCCAAGATGACTTCTTCCTCCTCCTTCTCAAATCTGGTGGTATAGGCACTTACCTTGCATTGCCCTGATACACAGATGGATGTGCCATTCTGGTCACAAGGAGTGCCATCAATGACCTTCTCAGCTTGCCTCACGTAGAAGCGATAGCCCATTGCTTGGCAGTTCAGCTCACACTTTTGATTTCCCCGTACTATGAAAAAATAATGAAAAAAAAAATCCACAGGTGGTCAGTTCTTAGAGTGAAATCAGTGGGCAAAACCATAGTATTAAGCTGCTCTTCTCCCATTTTTCCTAGATACAATTCATCGTGTTATTTCTTCTTAAAAGGTCCACAAATTAAATGTGTGTGTGTGTGTGTGTGTATATAGGTATTTGGGGAAACACAAAAATAATACTATGCTCTCTTGTAAGTAATATGTTCCAAGGTCATACAAAAGTCTGCATGTGTAATTGTTGTTAACAATCTCAATTTTTTCCCCCTTATACAACATCAGGGCATCATATTTTCCCTAGTATACTCCCTTTTCCTACTATTTCATTGTCTCACACTCACATACTCATTGTCTTACACTCAAAAACAATCTCAGCAAACTAACAGAAAACAGAAGAGAGTTATATGGATTCTATAAGGATAACAGAGAAGTAGCTATGTAAGTCCTGGTATCTTTGTTCTTACAAGGATCAGACAGAAGTATCCATGAAAGTATCCAAATCACAAAATATAAGAAAAGGTTTTAGATGTCACCTAGTATAATCCTTTTCTAGTTTCATAAATTTTTCCTATCGTAGCTAACTAAATTAGTTAGAAGGCAGGAGGCCCAGTAAGTTAGAAGATGTGGTACATGGTCTTGGGCAAGTTTTATCACTTAAGGGCTTTCAATACTTTCGTCTTTATCCCCACTTTTCATGAGATACAAATACTCAGTTCTAGGAATATTACATTTTATACAAACTTTCCTTCTAAGTACAAGAATCTGGGTAGAATATTCTCCTTTCTTCTCTATCTCTTGTGATACTATTCATATATATTCATGAATAAATTTCTTGCATTATGTCAAATCATAGCTGCCAAAGAAAGAGGTTAAGAAGATACTTAAGTGACTTCAGTCACTTAAGTTAGTGACTAAATCCCCAAATACATCAAAATGTCAGATTTGGAAGTAATTACAAAGGCTGCTCAACTTGTGTGTAAATAAAAGTCAGCTCCAACAATATTTCTGACAAGTAGACATCTAACCTCTGCTTGAAAAATTTCAATGACAGGGAACTCACTACCTTCCAAGTCAGTCTATTCTATTTTGAGACAGCTACAATTTTTAAATAAGTGTTTGTTCAGATCAAATACAAATATGCTTCTCTGTACCTTCTACCATTTGCTGACTTCTGGGGCTGAATAGAACAAGTCCATTATCTTTTCCAACAACTGTTCTTCAAATATTTGAAGATAGCTATCATTCCCTCTTTTATTCCCTGTCTTTTATTCTCCAGGCTAAGAATTGAGATCTAGTTCCTTGAACCAGGCAAAGTCTCCAGTCCTCTCATTACCCTGGCCCCCTTCCTTAAGATGAACTCCAGTTGGTAAATGTCCTTCCTAAACTGTTGCTTCTAGAACTGGACACAGCACTCTAGGCATGGCATCTGAGCAAGGCAGTATCCAGTAAGTCCATCAACACCCTTGCCCTGTCCCTTCTTAATATATCCCAGGTTAATATTAACCTTGCAGGCTTTCGTATCATACCAGTACCTCATTTTGAATTTTCAGTTCACTAGATCTTTCTGTATAAACTATGACATAATCATTCCTCTATAATCTTATACTTGTAAAGCTAGTTGTTGTTGTTTTTCAATCTAAGGGAAGAATTGTAGATTTCTTTCTATTAATTTTCATCTTGCTATATCCAGCTCCTTGTGTTAACCTGTCAGGGATCTATTTCCATCTTGACCATCAGTTAGCATATGAGCTAGTCCTCTTCAAGTGGAATACTTTGATGACCCTATGATTTAATTGAAGCAGGCACTACTTTTAACTATGCTGCTTACAACCTATGCCTCTCTTCCATCCAATGATGTTGTGGGCCTTGTCTAGATCTCTTAACATTTGATGGTTCCAATGAAACACATGGGCTCTCCATGAGTTATCCCTTATACTCTCTCCATGACAATATATTTCACTGATAAACTAATAGATGCCACTTCTATGAAATTTTTCATTGTTAATATGCGTCAGCCTACACATTTCCACTGTCCTATAGGCAACCAACAACTTTAATTTTTCAGAAAAAATTAAATTTACTTGAATTTACACAGAATCATAAAAAAAATACTGATGTTGAAAAAGTATTCATTGTTTCAGTGAAAGAGGAGAGGTGAAGAGGGAGAGCATTCCAGACGTAGGTGATAGCCAATATAAAGGCAGAGAGATGGGAGATAGAAGGTCATGTACAAAGAAAAACAATAGTCCAGTATAGCTGAACTGTAGAATTCATAGAAGGGATTAAAGTGTAAGAAGACTGAAGAATTTAAGAAGGAACCAAAAAGCTAGCTTCAAATTTGGGGTGAAAGGAGAGAAGAAAATCTCAATTACTTAAAATTACTTGACATCCTTCGCTCATAAACACAATCATATGTCAAATTGTCTTTTTAGAGACTCCTTGATAATTGCAAAGCTGCACTTTTAGGGAAGGAAAGCAAATAATTACTCAAGGAACAAATTTGAGCAGATGCAGATATCAAATAAACTTCAGTGTCAATCAATCTTCTCATTTTCACTTAGTTAATGGAAGTGAAAATAGGGGTTGATCAAGGAAGTTCTTTAATTAACTTCAGGAGCTGCTAGGGTAGTGAACCTTTCTATCATCCTGTGGAGGATATAAACATTCTCATTAACTAACTTGAGAGGAATGAGGAACATTGAATGTAGTATTCCTAATTATGTCTCACTGATGATGCAGATACCACTTTACGTCTCATTTACCAGAGATTAAATGATTGGCTGAGGTGGCTGTGACTCAATCAAGAATGAATTGGTTGACTCTATCTCGGGTCATGCACTTCTGTGTTGGCCCTAAAGATAGGTTCAGTTAGAGTTGGTCTTTGGTGGTGGGATGGTAAGACGCCTCAAAGCAACAGAGCTAAAAGTGGACTTGGGTCCTGAAGCAAGGGAGTCATGGTGGAGACTAAATCTGTGCAGGTGCACAACTTTCCCTAGTAACTAGTTATGACTCCTTGGAGCAAAGGCTTCTGGTTGTTGTTCATGTTCTCAACCCTGGACCTGAAAGGAAAGTTCTGTGACCAATTCCTAGACCAGAGACTCCTGTATAGAAGAAGAATTCCTTGGGCAGTTAGAAAGTTTGATAGCCTCAAGATTTGCCCTCTAAGAAAACCCAAGAAGAGAGTTATGAGATCCAGTTTAGTTAAGACAGAAGAAAGAATTCTTGGACAACTCTAGCATCTTAGAAAGAAAACTGTCACACATGTGGATCCCAAAGCTAAAAGAAAAGTGAAAGATTGAGCTATAATACAGGGGAGCAAAACCTCCTGGATTTTGCCTTCTGCTTTTATTGTGAGATATTCGGGCAGTGTAGCTTCTGTGGGAAGAAAATTACCACCTTAGAAACACAAGTTTCTTTTCCTTTTATATAAAACCAAACCTTTAGGGTGATGTCATAAGGCTGTATAGGTACCTGGATGACAGCAGGATTCACCTGAATGTTGGTTGGTTACCTCTATGGTAACCGTGTTTATGTAGCTTTGGATGATATATAAACCACAGTGGCCCTAGGAATCTGGGGGAAACATAAGACTCACTAAAGAGAAAAAAAATGTATCTATTGTTTGTTAACTACTTAGAGTTATTTCTGCATTTTCTGTGGCATAAAATCAAGGTTGTCTTGTAAACAATATTCATTGTTATCTTGGGTGATTGTATCAGAACCGGAAACCCTTCTAACCACATCTATGAAAACCTGGACAACAGTTACATTCCAGAATACCCCAGAAGAAATCTTGGTAGGGGCAAAATGAGCCAAAGAGAATCGTTTGAGAGAAAACTCGGAGATTAGACTAAGTCTATGAAAGCTCGTCACATGAGGTGCTGGGCCATGGGTTACATAGGAGTCTCAAAGATTAGACTCATAAATGTTGCCAAAGGTTACAGCGGGTCAAACTCCGATACTCTAAAAGTATTACCTCTCTTTCTTTCTCTGCCCCTACTCGAATTTTACTGAGAAAATACCAGGTAAAAGAAAGAAGAAACAGCATGAGTAAATACCGAAGACTCTTCCCTGAGGACAGAACAGCATCTGTGCTAAGTTTAGAGTCCATTCACATTTCACAAATTCATTCCAAGTTTAGCACCAAAACCCAAACTTCCAGGCTCAAGTTCCCCTTTTCGTTAGCAGTATAGGACATTCTCTTTCAAAGGAAACAGGATCGTAAAAGCAGCTCATAAAACTTGAATGTGGCAGAGTGCTTACCAGAAACATTCTGATGAGTTAAGTGTAAATGAATAAGAAACATGTGGACTTGATTTCTTGGGAATACATGCATACAGGGGTTAAACGAAGGGAGGAAAAAAGGTGCTTGGGGAAAAGGCATTTTAGATTTTACTGAAAACAAAGCACAGGACAAACAGTACGAGGCACTTAGTAAAACTAAGTAACTGAGCACTACCCAGAGCAAACTCTGCTGAGCTCAGCCTCCATTCTCTTGCATTATCTATTTGGTTTTCTTGCTAGTTTGTGATAGATGATCAGCTTTTCCTCAGATTCCAAATATCACACTAAACTCAGACTGTCATTTAACCTGGTTTCCACCAGACTGCATTTTCCAGGGCAAAGTTATGGGAAATAAGGTACAGAACATGCTTCTAATAATTCAAGCTCTCTTTAGAGCTTTTATGCCTTTAGACAAAGAAGAGAGAGAGTGAGACAGAGCATACTTTTAAGACTCAATTTATTCCTTTTCTAAAAAGGAAACTTCTCAGGAGCAGAGACCAAAACACCAATCTGGCAACACATCATTTTTCAAGAGGTCAGTCTCTTAGCAGTTTCCAAAAGCATGGACCCAAAAAGGCTTCTGGACTCTTGAAATAAACTATAACAAATTCTCGGCACTAAAACCATGCACTTTGCTCCTCTTCCCCTCACTCGGTGTCTTTCTGACCTTTATTCACTATGCAGACCTTAAACT